CACTGTTATGGCCTAAACATATGAAGGTTGATGTCTGTACTACCCTTGATTCACATTTAGTGTGGTAACATGGCAACACAGATGAAGCAAATTCAGTGCATAAAAAAATGCTAACAAGAAATTAGTTGATCTTATGGGAAAAGCAAACACTGATTTCCAAATACCAAATCTCAAAAAGCAAAATACTAAAAAGTGTTGGTAATAGACCTTGGGAAAAATAGCATAATATTGTCTTGTATATAAGTACAGTTATTTGTTGCTCACAGCTCCACCACCAACCACAGTATTTATTTCCTAGCAAAGACAATACAGCCAGTATTACAGCAAGGTAAGCATTCCTGGAATGTAATAAGATCTATGCAAAATCCATCGATCAATGTGTAACCAGGTGTATGATGTAATAATAAATAAAATTACTTTTCATAAATCATATACAATAAAACCTTAGTTCAAAGGAAATGAAGCAGAATATTTTAGATGATTTGAATACCTCGTCAATTCATAATAATAAATAATGTTGAAACCGCATTGCTGTTTCCATGACAACATCAATATACTGTAACTTTAAAGTATTCCAATCATAGATGCATGGATTTTTAAGAATTACAGTTCTACAATTTGCGAACACGCTATTAGACTGACAAGCAATGGAAGTTGATATCCAAATTAGATGTAAATTGACTGTGCCATGTCGGGAACACTGATTGTGCCAAAGACGTATCTCAGAATACGTTTAGTGAAGGGAAATCAATTCACAAAAAGGAAATTTTCTTCTTTTTATATGTTTGCTTGTTCAGTTCACCTGAAAATTCTCTCAAGCTTGTATAAGTGCGTTAAGTGCATAATTTCTCGCATGGTAGTTGTGCGAATCTACAGGTAATATTGACATAAATTGAACACAGAGATAATACCATTTTCATGAACTCCTAAAAATAATTGATAATAACACTGTAATACAAAAGACTACAAACAAAATTCATTAAAGCCATTTTTCTTAAATTACGTTGAAAAATGCATTTATTTTTTAACAATGACGTGTATACAGTTTAGATGGTGAAAACTAACAGCCCATGAATAGAAACTTCCGTTTTCCGATATTACTTTTTCTCTTTCACAAAAGCCTGACTAATATTTATGGATTTTAATTAAACCATTCATAATAGCATTACTTCATGCTGTTGCATAATATACAAAAAATGATTGATAGCAATTAGTGTACAGCAACAATACTGTGGATTATTACATATTTGCTGGCACAAATTGTAAAGATTGGATGACTTAAAGCAGTATGCTACTCAAGAGTCTTTTTTTATACATGTTTGCATATTTCAGCGCATATAGCAGCCACGATATTTTAGATCAAAATTAGACGACAATTAATCATTTTAGTATTACTCAACAGTATGTGAACTTTTTTGGTTTACCGTCAATATGTTTTTTGAGAATAATGGTGAAATATTATGTATAAAATACCTTTTTAGCTGCGGTTTCCAGACTACATGAAAAGTCATTTCCTTGCAAAATCTACCCAAAATATTAATTTTGTAATACCAGTACTACAGATATCAAAAAGTACCTAGTAACCTTGTAAGTCAATACATATCTTTTTTTTAACACATGTCATGAAATAACATTTTTGTGTTATCCTTGTCAAAACATGCTATTTTCACTGTATTTTATTTATTGATTTTCTCCCAATTTTAATTCGTTTTTCTTCATCTTTGTAACATGATATAACAAACATATAAACAAGCAGCCTGTCGGCTGAGATAGCTCCGCTGTTAGCAATGCACATGGCAATTAAAGAACAGAAGATAATCATTAGAAAATGAACAAATCTGAGTCCACATGTAGTACCTATATGTATAATATATCAAAGCAATTGGACTTGCGGTTTTCAACAAGAAGTCGAAAATATCACTTTTTACCAAAAATTACAAAAATATTCATCAAAATTAGAGAATTAAAGATATCATCATGAAATGAACAAATCTGAGAAAGGTCCACATGTAGTACCTATATATGTAATATCAAAGCAATTGGACTTGCGGTTTTCAACAAGAAGTCGAAAATATCACTTTTTACCAAAAATTACAAAAATATTCACCAAAATTAGAGAAT